AACGTGATCATCGCCCACGACGGGTCCCTACTGATTTCCTCTGCCAGGCTGATTGATAGCGGCAATTATACATGCGGGGCGCGGAACGTTGCGCACGAAAGATTAGCCAAACCTGCCGTTTTACAGATATACGGTACGTTCTCTGAAGGAAGACGAATTTTCGGTTTTGCAGTGTTATATTTATGTTTAATATAATTTTAAATTTAGTTTTGATTTGTTTGTTCCAAATAAATTAAAAACAGATTTTTTGTGATCGTTAAATATAAATATTGGATCATCGTAATCCAGGATGTTAGCTGATGACAAATAAGAAATTCTGTGGAATGCTGAACCGGTCTGACGTTTTGACTGTTTAGGCGGAATCACAACAGTACGCATAGATGTGAGGTAGTGTAGAAAAGTACACAAGCGACAAAATGAAAATAATTCTAAAATTACACAGTGGAAAAATTACAACATTCAAGAAGGCTCAGTATTTGAGGATAGTATAGTTGTAGAAAACTGTAAGGCGTATGTGCTGAAAGATAATTGGAACGGATTTGTCCCAAAAACGAGAAACGGTTGTTGTTGTCCAAATCTATTAAAGTATATTCGTATGCAGCTGACGACGAGGAATATCACCATTGCCGCAGCAGTGAACATTGCCCCCACCCCCAACCCCCCCCCATCACTTTGAGATACATTTTCTATAGATAGGACGTCATAAATCTGCGTTACTCTGCCGTTTAAGCTCTGCTAGCCTTTCGTGACCATTTCACAACCACAACGAAAACAACAACCGCACACAGCTGTCAGGGTCAGGGCAGGATCATCAGGAATATGTACGAGGGCTGAGATCGTGCATATGTAATGACTGATTAGAAGCTTGGTGTAAACCGATCGAAGCGGCGTCACTGCCGATAGAATATTTTAAACTTATGACAATGTTTCAGTTGATGGAAGTTGGTCGCAGTGGTCGGGGTGGATCGACCCGTGTCCGACGAGCTGCAAGCACTTCGACCACAATCGCCGGTCGTCAGTAAAACGGTCCAGGTTTCGTGTGTGCGACAGTCCTCCTCCGTCGAACGGCGGGGCCTACTGCCCGGGTGCGGACAAGGAGCACGAGGACTGTGATCTGCTTTGCCCTGTCGATGGTTCATGGTCGACGTGGAACGACTGGACAACGTGCAACATCGACTGTTACCAAACGCGGCACCGCCGCTGTGACTCCCCAACGCCACTCAACGGTGGCCGGATCTGCCACGGCTTCGACCGACAGCAGCGCAACTGTTCTGATGCCGAATGCATGCCCAGTACGTACTTGGCGACCACTGTCTCTTGCTTTTGATGATCAGTGTTGTTACAGAGCTTTGTAAATTTTTAAAAACAAGTCGGTTCCAAACCCCTCGCAGCAAAGTCAAGCATTTTCCATTATGAAGTATCAATAGTATATATTATTTATTTTTATTTATCGAAATATTGCGTATTTGAATAAAATCCTACCGGTAGCAATGGACACCAATTTCTGAAGGAAAAAAACGTAAAATATGAGCCTAATCCATTTTCGATCAGTTCATCCATGATCAAATAGTAGTCATCGATCGGACATCGATGCAGCTTTTTTCGTGATATTACTACGAAGAACTGCACGTCGAGCATTTTGTTGTTAGCCATTTCAAAGATCTGCACGAAGCTACCGGTGA